TTCCTTTTTTATGTTATTTTATTGTTTGGTTTAAAATGTATTTTATTGAGATTATGTATTTTTTGTTTGCCTATATTGTAGAATTTGGTGCTCCTTTAACTTTTTAAGTGAAAATATATCGATGTGTACATGGACAAAGTAAAGGGAGTGTGTAATGCAAGTTTGTGCAATTCTGGGATTTTTTTTTTTTTAAGCGAAAATAGGTCGATGTGTACATGGATAAAGTTGAAAGAGTGCGCAATGCCATTTTTATGCAATTCGAGGATTTTTTTTTAAGTGAAAATACGTCAATGTGTACATGGACACCGAGTTTGTGCAACTCTTTTTCTTGTTATTTTGGCGCAAAAATCACCGCTTCACAAGCCAAAATAATGAGTCAAAGAAATGCACAAAATCGGTATCCATGTACCGCCAAAAATCGCCAAGGGGTACCCTAAACTATACTTTTACCAAGATCTCTGATAGAAGTTTTGGTTCTAGAATAGTGTCAATGTATTTTCTGGCATTCAGTGTCCCATCGATGACATGAAGGCGACCAATACCATCTGCTGACATGCATGACCAAATCATAACACTAACTGGGTTCTTCACAGTTGCTTAAATGCAGTCAGGATGTAGCTCTTCTTCTATTCTATGTCTTACATATTTTCGCCCATCACTACTGAATAACGATATCTTAGTTTCATCACTCCATATAACTTGTGACCACTGATCATCTGTCCAATTAATGTGTTCCTTTGCCCACTGTAGTCTTTTTTTTTTTTTCGTTGCTGAAAATTAAGATAAGGCTTTTTTCGTGGAATTCTACCTCTCAGTCCAACATCTGTTAATTTTCTCCTGTTTGTTCTTGAACTGACAGAAACACCAGCATCATTCAGATCACTTGTGATGGCCGCTGATGACATTTTTCTATCTTGGAGACATAGTCTTTTTATTCTTCTGTCTTTTCGGCCTTTTCCTTCTTTGTTTTTTTATTGAATTTGTCTCCTGATATCGTAAACAAAACTTTCGGACTCCAGATGTAGTCACTGAACCACCTACCTGTCTTGCAATTTCAACATAAGAAAGACCATTTTCTCGTAACACAATAATATTACATCTCTTTCTAGTCCAATCTACTCTTTTATTTGATGTCATTGCTTCTTGACTAAATATTAAAAATTTTTACAAAAGTTTCTACTTGTAATTGCAGAGTATAAGAAACAGGTCCTCCTTCTACAGAACAAAGCAAAATAATGAATTGTTTCAAGTGTAAACATGATGTCAGCTTCTACTGGCAGTTACTAACATTTGATTGGTTCTCAGAACAAGAACAGTGACTGGCCAGGAAAGCTAGACATTACAAACCACTTCATAACGTGTTTTTTATTTATATTAAAGTACATATAACTTTTTTTGTATTGCAAATAATTGAATTTTGTGTTTTGTATTGAATTCAGTAATAAATTCTCTTTAAAATGATACATACAAGTTTGCATTTTGTGAAACAACAGTTTTTATAAGCATACAAGTTTGCATTTTTTGCAAGTTTGAACTTGGAAGTTTGCAAGTTCAAAAACATAAAAATTTCCAAAAATGTCCACAATTTTGGCCACTACTGTATATATGTATTTTGAGTTTTGGAAAGAGATAGTGAATGATCACCCAGTAATGGTGAATGAGATGCACAGAGCAAAAATTATTGAAATCGTTAGTCAATAGGATCTATCAAAAGATATATTGGAATACAGTAAGACATCACTTGGTTGTTGTATGAAGTTCATGAGATGGCAGAACATTGTAACTAAAAGTACAAAAACCCTTCAAAGGTAATTAAAAAGCAATGGTTAAAACTTTTCCACCTGAAATAAAAAAAAATAATTACATCAAATTTGGTTAGCCAATCCTTCTTCGTTAATACATTAGACTTAAGTTCGTTATACGATTTGAAAAAATTACTTCTATCTGAAATAGTGTTCTATTTACTTTGGATAGGATGAAATGTTATGTTCTTTCACAAATTCTAGCTCCAAACTAAACGAAGACCCTTATGAATCAATTCACTGAATTATCTGCAAAATTATCTCAACATTTTTTTAGGAAATAAAGCTTCCATTACATGAGCAGATTTAAAGGAGAATTTTATTTAGCATTAATACCAGCAGACAGAAATGAATCATCAAGGAATTAATAATTATTCTAGGAAGAAAATCTTTATATCATCTGATAAAAAAACAGCACAACTTTATATATACATTTTAGGGAAAAGTGCAGAATCACCCACTGCTTGGCGCCTTTTTAAGTATTGCACATACTCGGCATCCATGAACACATCGACCTATTTTCTCTTAGGAAAAACGAGTAAAGTGCAGAATCGCTCACTTACTTGTTAGTTGATCTTTACAATATGGTAACTGGTAGTTTGGCGACATTTTGGAGGCGATAAAGGTTACTACCTGGGACTTTGGTAATAATGTGAGCAGTACTCAGTTCCGATTACGCATTATTTTGCGTGAGGGAAATGAGAGATCGTGGGATATGTCATGTGATATTAATGGACGAATTACGGTTCTTTAATCGGAAAAGGGGGGAAATCGGGAAAAAACTGGAAAGGAAATTTTGTATTTAGCTTTATTCTGTGTTGTGTGAAACAGTGTTGGTTAATTTTTGGATCCCATGGCCCTAACTAAAGTGAATTCGAAATGGGTATTTAGACATTGTGATAAAGAGAAGTTTGCTTTTTATTTAGCGGAGGAAGTATGGAGGAAAAATTCGCAGAAAAAATCTTTCAATAATTTTATTGAATGAATTAGAAAAGTATATCCGCCACGTAATCAAGATTCTGAAGAAGATTAGGTAAGTTAGTATTTTTAATTATTTGAGGATATTATTTTTATGCATTGTTCTAAATGTAAGGTGGAAAGGAATTTGGTATTATTGGGAAAATTGTTATTAACAATGATTTAGTTAATTAGGATTGTAAGGTAATTTTTATTAATTTAATGTATGTGCTCATTTATATTTTAAGTAGTGTTTTTGAATTTAATTATATTTTAATGAAATGTTAATTAGTTATTTTGTGAATTTTATGTTTGTAGGAATTTGGTATACGTTTTAATTGAAGTAAACATGCATGGAAATAATTTAAATATCTGACACTAAGTATTTGTAATGGTTGCGGTATGAATTCGTTGGTGACGTTTATAATATAATAGATGATTTAGAGGTAAAAGTTTTTGGATATTTTATTTATTTTATATGTGGAAATGTTCATATTTGGAAAGGGTAAATACTTTTTCGCGATCAGGTAATTTCATATATGTTCTTTTTACCGGGTTTAAAGATTGAGAAAATTGTCATGTATTTTCGTGAAATTTTTCTAATTTATGAGAAAAAAGCAGTGTACATGGATATAGTGAAGAGTGTGCGCAATGCCATTTTTGTGCAATTCTGGGATTTTTTTTAAGTAAAAATAAGTCGACGTGTACATGGTTTAGTGATATTTTAATTAAATGATAGTTATTTTGTGAATTTTATGTTTGTAGGAATTTGGTATACGTTTAAGTTGAAGTAAACGTGCATGGAAATAATTTAAATATTTGATACTAAGTATTTGTAATGCTTGCGGTATGAATTCGTTGGTGACGTGTATAATGTAATAGATGATTTAGAGGTAAAAGTTTTTGGATATTTTATTTATTTTATATGTGGAAATGTTCATATTTGTAAAGGGTAAATACTTTTTCGCGATCAGGTAATTTCATATATGTTCTTTTTACCGGGTTTAAAGATTGAGAAAATTGTCATGTATTTTCGTGAAATTTTTCTAATTTATGAAAAAAAAAAAAGCAGTGTACATGGATATAGTGAAGAGTGTGCGCAATGCCATTTTTGTGCAATTCTGGGATGTTTTTTTAAGTAAAAATAAGTCGGCGTGTACATGGTTTATGTGTATGTGTTATTTTGAAAACGCGTAAGGAGTATGGTATTGTGCACTTTTTCCCAATTTTGCAGTGAATATTTGTCATGATTAAGCAGTTTTGTTTGATAAAATTTCTAGCATTTGGAAGAAGTGTTCAGTAGATAAAAAGAAAAGAAACATGTCTTTACTTCGTGAAGACAAAATGGCGGCGGGGAAAAAAAATAGAGAGTTGCTGTAGGAGAGTTGGTTGCCAAATTTTCGCCAAAAAATCGCCAAGTTACCATAATGTAAAGATCAACCTACTTGTTTGTTAGTTACTTAGAGTTAGAAGAATTGGATTTTTGTCAATTTTCTTTGACTTTTTAAGTAAAAATATGTCGATGTGTACATGGATAAAGTCAAGGGAGTGCACAATGCCATTTTTGTGCAATTCTGGGATTTTTTTTAAGTGAAAATAGGTCGATGCGTACATGGATACCGAGTATGTGCAATTCTTAAAAACGTGCCAAGCAGTGGGCGATTCTGCACTTTCCCCCAAAAAAATAATCCCAGAATTGCACAAAAATGGCATTGTGCACTCCCTTTATCCATGTACACATCGACCCATTTTCACTTAAAAAGTTAAAAGAAAATTGACAAAAATCGAATTCTTCTTACTCTTGTAAAAAGCAACAAACAAATAAGTGGACGATTCTGCACTTTACCCACATTTTAAACTTCTGGAAAAACACCAACAGTATATCCGTATACAAAAGTTTAAAAAAAAAAAAAAAAGCGGTATTATACTAGTATATAGTAGGTATCCTTCAATTTATTTTATTCGACACGACACTTCCATCCATATTTATCTACATAAAACGGAATAGCGTCCAATTCAAATATAACAATCTGTAACGACATAAAATAAAATATTGTCATTATGAATGAAAAAGATAAATGAAATGACGAAAGCGAAGATATATATATCAGAAAGGAATCATATTTCCAGTTTCGATTTTAGCAAAACAACACCCTCCCCACATGTTAAAAATATATTACGTCATGGAAAATCAGAACTAAATGTCATTCATAAACGAACTTTATACAAAAGTTACTTTACCATTTCTGAATGTTTAATAAACTTCAATCTATTAATTCCCGGTCTGAATTAAAACGAATTACACATCCAACATAACGTCGAGCACTTAACACTGCCGCCATTTTATCAGATATTTAGTTTCTATTCGGTTTTGCTATTACGCAATGCATCTTCATATAAACAACAACGATTCTCGACCTAAGACAGGTTTACCCGTCACGTGACAGGAAGTGTACTTTTCCAATGGTGCCTTTCGAAACCGAATAACGTTACTGGAATAAATTTTAAAGCCAAGCTTTTGTTGCAGACTTCTTTGTTCCTAATTTAATATAATTTGTTTTGGTTTCTTCGGCGATCGAATAATTGTTATAAAATAACCAATAATTAATATGAAGGTGCTGATAACTGCTGATTCAATTATTACCAGTATTACCAATACGTATGTTTATAACACCAGTACTATTTGCCATCCCAGACATAAGACAGATTTCGTCGTTTGGAATACGATTCATCCTTTTAAATGTAGGGACGAGTAATATGCATTCTTATGTGGATGACAGTCTTAAAATATAAGTATGTAATAGGGATAATAAGTAGAATAAATCCATATGCGTGAGTAATTATCTCTAAAACGTTGGGATGTTTACGGCTCTAAACTTTCATTACCAATTAACATGAGACAGTATTAATGCCCTAAACATTTTTTAACAAAAAATGACTATAATAATTACTTTTAAATTCACTCCTCTCCAGTAGAAGCGCAGAAATTGATTCATAAATTAAATATTTCCATTTTCTTTACCTAATAAGTGTATGAATTAAAAATAATATTTTATGGATTATGCATAAAATATAACTGCCCATAGTGCATTTTAAACCAAACGAGATTTCTAATAAATTATCCAGCTATGACCCTGAAGTCAACGGTATACAAGCATAGCAAATTTTGTGTAAATATTGGGAGCCTTTCTTTAAAGTTGCTCTGTATTTTTAAAGTACCAACTATTTTTTAGTTCGTTTAACTTTTTTATTTTATTTATTTGTTTGTTTGCGTTCTACGTCAGGATCCATATCAAATCCAAAACAAACAATACTCGCTTAAGCGGGAAAAATTCAGATGTTCAGCGTCGTAACTCGCGAACTGGTTGTTTGGCGCCAAAATATTACAGTGACACCTCGCGGCGGAAAAGGAAAATAATGTACGAATACGCCGCAGTGAAAACGCTTGTACGGATGCCGTAGGTAAGGCTCCTCTAAACATATATGTAGAAGCCTTAAGGCGTAGGTGTGTCTTCAATTGACGCAACGCATTCGTACGCAGTAGTGGAAACGGGCCTTTAGGGCTCAGGTGCGCTCCGGTTAGAATTAGAATATATCCTAAAAACTAAGATGTACTGGAGCCGGCCTCCGGTGGGCTCCGGCGCAATTTAAGCTCTGACTTACCCCAATTTATGTTGATTTATGGCAACATAGTTTCCTTTCCCTTTTTTACATTGTGCACAAGAAGAAAAAGTCACTTCGTTTCTACAAGTGCCTAAACCACATTTGATGCATGATCACTTTCAACAAATATGCCAAATTTCAAAACGCGCCAACACATATAAATTCAAGTATGTCTTCGGAGATTTTGAATAAAAGTAATTTTTTGCAGGTATATTTAAAAATACATCAACTTTAAGTTGATGGTAAAAATTGTATAGGTTATAATTCAAAATTTTTTTCGAAAAATTTTTATTATTTAAAAATACAAATTTTAAAAATGAATCATATAAAATGGGCGAATTTTATTTGGAATGAACCTAAATTTCGAAATGTGTCATAAATCAAATAAGAATATAAGCGAAAGAATCAAATAAGTTTAATAAAACAGAAATTAATAAATATATACCAAATTCAATTAACACTGAGCAGCTAAAATTTTGAGAGCTACTTTTTCGTGTGATTTTTCACAAAACTTGGCAGTTTAGCATAACTTGAGTCGTGGATTCATAATGTGGAAAAAAACTGACATGTTATTTCAGAAAAAGTCCGATTTTGTGTCAAAATATCTATATTAGAACAATACTATATATAAATCTAATTCACATCCTATGTCGCGCTTTCGAGACATGAAAAAAGCAAATTGAATTTCGTCAATCGGCCCAGTAGAACGGGAGATATAGAAAATGTCCCCCCTTTTTTTGCGCAGTTTACATATCTGTAGTTACAAAGAGTTATCTTGTTGCTGTATTCGAGATGTTGAGTCTATGACGTCGAAGAGGATAATAATGAAGTTTTGAAAAATTAGATAAAAATTTAAAAAATTAAAATGGCTTAATAAAAAAAAACAAAAAGAAACCACTGTTTGATCTTGATACACAGCTTTTATTTTGTTGTGACTACCTCCATTGCAAACGCTCAAGAGGAATGAAAAAAGAGGGCTGAAAGACAGAGAGAGAAAGAAGAAAATTACATTTGATTGGAGCCTTTTGACAAATTAAAATAAGCTTTAAATATTTTTTAATTTGGCTTAATTTAACTTTTGGTGGTTTGAACCTACGATAATCGGATATATGTTGCTTAAACGATTCTTGTTTTTGTTAGAAAAGACATATCTTATTATTTGTGAACTATGAATAAGTTATCAGAGAAGACAGCGTATTTCTTCGATCATTTTTAATGTAGGACTATGTTCCTTAAATGACGATCACAGGGACAAAAAAAATTAAAGGAGCAAAACATGTCTTAGTAGAACGCTCATATCGCAATTACTCCAAAAACTTTAGTTTTCGTTTATGGCTTATTAGGATAGTTAAAAAAGACCTTACAAAACAGACAAAAAAAAATTTTTTTTTTAATTGGATTTATGCTTTAGCCATAATAAAGTTTCAGATTTAGGCAAAAATACACAATACATTGATTACGTCACAAGTGCGCGCGCTCGAGTTAGCTTATAACACCGTTCAGTTCTATGTTGGAGTCGATGGCCAGCGGTTGTGGGAGCGAAGAAGAAAAAATAAATGATGTTTTATAGCATCGCCATTTATTTGGAAAGAACGTCCGGCTAGCTTTAGAAGGCTCGGAGTTCGAATCCAGGCGAAGGCATCGTTGATTCTTTATATTCACAGCTTCGAAAAATTCTATAAAAAAGGACTATATAAAAGTGACTCCCAAACTAAAAACGTGGCGGACCCCCAAGAACGTTCTTCACCCCCAAGAATTGGCGAATGGATCCCCGCTTCCCTAGTCGCCCTTTAAATGGGGAAGAATGTAAGGTATCTTCTCCAACTTCGCCGCGTGCCTTCGGAGCGTAATTGGAAAAATGTCTAGCTAGCAATTGGGATGCCCGGAGCTCAAATCTCAGAGGGCCGATGCTATTCGCACCAGTGGTGCGATTAGCCGCTTAAGCTATTCGCACCTTTTCATCCGAGAAAAGATAATAAAAATTAGACAGAGGATTTCAGTGTAGAAAATTTAGACATGAAATGACTTAAAAGCGATTAAATCAACTATTAAATAAATCATATAATACTGGTTATTGACAATTCTGTATACCTGCTTATTTTTTTATGGAAGTACTTGGCATTTTCAGGACACAAAAAGTACTTCAAAGAACTTTGAAATATTAGCACAAACACATTAATCAATTAAATTGAAATAAATAATGAGATGTAATTTAAAAGACAGAAATAATTTAATGTAAGAGATTTAGATTTAAAAATTTGCACACACAAATGATTTATCAGATTTTGTAAGGTTTTATTTCATAAATAACTTTGATTTTGAAATATGGCATTTGAACCTATAAACCTGTGTGGATACTGAAAAAGTGATGAATATATGAGAATATTATCATTTTCAGTAAGTTTTCTTATTGAATAATAAATTCTGACAGTCCTATGCTATAAGAATAGGGTCTAAGTTTGTATAAAAATTCCTCTTTTAAATAAAAGAATTTAAGTAATTTCTTTTTGTCAATACACTAAAGATTTTTTAACTAATTACTCGCCCTCGCTTGCAATTAGAACCATCATTAAATCCATATTTTATCTAATCATTTCCTTAACATTATCATGTATATAGATTGACCTCGTCTTTGTAACTGATAATTATTTCTTGCAAATTATTGTCTTGCTGGTGAACTATTAACAACATTCGGTCTCACTACCATCTGCCTACGGAAATTGGCGTAAAATGCTGGTACCTGGGCTGATTGTGCGCATGCGCGGACGTAGGTGGTGTGAATAGCCTGTTAGCTATCCGCACCGTCGGTGCGATTAGCCACTGCGAATCTCAGGGAGGGCATTGCGCATTTTTCACTTCTTGCTCTGAAATACGAGGCGTATTCGGAAACTAAGTACCGTTTTGAAAAAAAAAAATAAAAATAGTAAAACAATTTTTTCGAATCCAATTTTATTTTTACATGAAAATACATGTCTTAAACTATTTTTCAACATAGTTTCCGCCAATGATCAAACACTTGTCATAGCGGGTGACCAGTTTTTTTTGTATACCATCGTCAAAGAAAACTTCCGCCAGTTTCGATAACCACGACTCCACAGCATTTTTCGTGTCATCGTCAGATCCAAAGCGCTTGCCACCAAGCTCGCGCTTCATGTGCAGGAACAAGTGATAGTCGGACGGCGCCAAGTCCGGGCTGTACGGCGGGTGATCGAACTGCTCCCAATGAAACTGTCGAATTAACGATTGAGTGAAACCAGCAGTATGGGGGCTGAGCATTGTCATGGAGCAACACAATTCCTTTACTGAGCATTCCTCTTCGTTTGTTTTGAATGGCACGCCTTAATTTTGTTAAAGTCTCACAATATCTCCACTTTTCAGTAATCTCTAGGATCATAGTAGCTGCGTTTATAAAGACTGGTGAAGAAAGAAATTTTTTAGCTGCAGTCATAAATCATTTTAAATAGCATCTAGAGTATCTATCTGCCGCCGCCCAGCCAATATAGTGATTATTGACATAAATCACTGAGTTGTTTCCCGACCCATGTATATTTCCTATGTCCGTGACGAACTGATTACCAACCCAAAAGATGTGAACCAGTCTCTGCCTGACCACGGCCCCGATACCAGGCCGGCAGATCAGGTGACGTTTATTAAATCTAGTAAAGAATCATCAAATCATATACTCAGATTAAAACCTGAATAAGATGTAACGCATAATAAATACTAAATACGC